CCTCTGGTGAGCATCCTCCTCCCCCTCCTCCCCTCCCTGGACGTGACGTGATCCCACCGTGGCGGGTTTTCTGCTACGTCTACGCCGGTGGTATCGGGTCTGGCCTCGCGCGCGACCGGCGGGGCTTTCGCGTTGGCATAAATAGGGTCAGTGCTGCATTTGCGTTCGCGTTGGTGGGAAGATGGGTTGGCCTGGGTGGATTGGGATTCATGGCGGTCCGGGATTCTGTCAGGGTTGGACGGGGCTGAGAAGATTGCGTACCACCATTTTTCACGGGGTCACTTTTGCTCCAAGTCTGGACAACAAAAAAGGGGTCAGTTACGAAAGGGATTTAATATCTTATTTATATAATTCCAAAAAAACGAAAGGGATTTAATGTCTTATTTATATAAATAGAAGGGATTTAATATTTGGGTTGACTAGTTTGCGCTTCACATGTTTGGAGCGCAAATGCTCACTAGAAATGTTCCCCGTGCTGGATGGCAACTCTTTGTCCTCTCCTGCTTGAATCGAGCGAAGTTCCTGCCAGTGTTTTTTTAGTCGGAGGAAATACCACTGTAATAGTTTACTGAAACACAACTCAAGGAAACTCAGTTTCCATTTCCTGTACGTGTCATGCACCCTAAATCGATGCTTCCCTGTTGTGCCAAACCATAGAGAATGGTGTATGCTTATAGTTTGTATTGTTTTTTATTTTTTGAACAGTCACGGTGTATGTGTGTGAGGGGAGGGGAGCTCTGCAAGTACCATTTTAAGCCTGTTTTGGAGCTGTTTTTTTGGACTTCTTTTGTTTAGCTTGAGAGCCAAGGTGAGGGGAGAGGTTGATTGCCACTAAATCCATCCATTTGACATTGAAGTTTGGGTTATTTGCCTTGTTGTGTTCTTCTTTTCTTTAGTCGCTCTTTTGGCTGGGCATTCTGAGCATGATAGAAGCAAAGAACAGTTTCTGAGTTTGTACTAATGCATACTGTAGATGTTTTTGCTAGTGTATGGCTACTAGCTTTATGCATCCTCTGTTCCTGAAATCACGGCGTAGATTTTCTTTTTCCGTTTTTCAGTGAAAGAAGGTGCAAGCTTAGTTTTGCACCACAATTTCTGAACCCTCCTGTCATGACACCACGATTACAGGCACACGTTCCCGCATCCTAGTCTCCACTTATCCCATGTCTCCTGCACTCTTATACTTCCTACTTCCTTTTTCCATCATGCTCGTCGTGTTGCTCGACACCCTGCTCGGCTTGCTCATTGGTGTGGGCACCTGACACCCTTTGTGGCCACTCTGCATCTGCCACTGGCAAAGCCTAGCTGGGTACACCCTCAGCGGCTGTCAATGCCAAGGATATTGACCTCGGCCAGTGTGCTCGTGTGTGCCCAAGGTCAAGTCTGGCGTGAAGTTCTCGCGCCGGCACTGCCACGGTCTCGATCCGGTGTGACCATTCAGCAAAGACAAAGGAGTGAGTGCCAAGCTCCATGGTTTAGGTCCATAAAGAATCATCATAAACAGAGTTGGAAGAGAATTAAGGAGTGGAACACTCTTAGTCAAAGCTCCATGGTTTAGGTCCATGGAAGATTGGAGAAGAGAGTGGTGACCATGGTGTTTGGGAAGGTTGTTTTTATAGGTTAACTACAAAATTGGACTTGTATAATCAAATTGGCGCTCATACTCAAATATTTCAGTGAAGCATCTAATCCCTCCCTTCAAATTCCTTCCCTTCATTTTCATGGAAATTTCAATACTCAAATTTGCGGTGAAGCAATGGTTTTAATCAGTGCCATAATGCAACGTGTAGCCAGTGCCTGGGCCATGCATGAGAACCAGCAGCACGATGAGGGGTTGCATGGTGTGGGAGGGAGTTTGCGTGGGGCAGGCGTGGTATGCTCACGCGCAATCCTTTGCATGGCTAGCTGGCAGTATCAACGCTGGTGGAGACCAAGGAGCTCAAGCTTGTGTAGGAGGGAAATTAGAGGCAAGTGCGGTGAGATTAGCAGGGGCAAAGGAGTCCAGATCAACGAAAATTTCCACGGCCTGCTCCTGTTTTGGTCTTAGTGCCAGAAGATGCGCCATGCTTTCAGGAATGGAGGGAGTAAGTTTCATTACTGTTGAATTGGATTGTATCGAGTGAAATTCAGAGATCCATGCCAAAAGTAAGGAACCTATGAGAAAGAAGTCATCCAAAGGTTTACCAGTCAGCACCATGGATGTTGGGCTAGCCAGCCTGGGTTTGATCATCAGCTCTATCTTAATTTGATTGATACCTAGGTCCTCCAACGCATCACTCTTTTTTTCATTGTAAACGTATGAGTGATGAATAATAGTGCCTATTTGTTCATCGCTTACTATGCCTGTGTTAAATAAGTGGCGGGTTGGCTACTGCATTTTATGATTATTGTAGTTATCCACATGAAAGTGTCTGTGCTTTTAATTATAATTTCCTTGTACGCATCCTACAATTTCTTGTGCACCTTGCATGCGACTTATACAGAATAGCAGATGAGTATTGCTTATACCAATTTATTTCCTCTCTCTTGTATGATAAGTAATCAATCATCTATCTTTGTACTTTATAGGCATGTATTACCACAGAAAAAGGAAGACTTCTGACCCCATCAGTGGCCTTTCACTTCCTAGTGCAAAGATGGTTGGCAATTGGGGATTTGGCAGTGTTACCAAGGACTGGGAAAGTATGCATGCTCGAAAGCTCGAATTTATGAATTTCCTTTCTACTCTGCGTAAGCCCACGCAGAGTTACGTGGCTTGTGCTGAAGCTAATATGTTTAGTAGCTCTGTCGAGCACACAGAACAGAAAAACAGTGAAGTGCTAATAATTCTTGATTCGGATAATGAAGATGAAAGCATGGCAACGTACAAACAACTGACACCTGAGAAGAACAAACAGCTCTCATTTGAGAAAAACAAGCAGCTGATACCATCAGAACAGGCTGGTACTCTCACAGCATGTGTGGCAACCCAAGGAATTGCCGACTTAAATGAGACCATGCGTGATGGAGACCAAAACAGTCATATTGTTCCATATGGTCAAAGTGCAACTTTCATGAATCAGTATCCTTTACTCCGCTATCAACCATCAGTTCAGTTTGAGAGAGTTGTATTGCAGGAAAGACCTGAGAAGGAACGTGCCCATGATCTGGCTGTATGTACTTCTTCACTTGCAATTTGTTTTACCGAACTTTTACTTCTACACACTGTATTGTTGTTTTTGCTCTACATGCTTGTACCGACAAGCTAATCTATGGTATCAACGTTGCACTGCACATTGGCATCTCTGAAGGGCACTGTGAATATGCTATCTTTGTCTTCAGTGTTTTCTTGATGTTCATCCATCTAATTGTTTAATGCATCTTAGTTTCGCAAATAGCTGAACAATGGAATACAAATGTTTGATATTTACTGAATCTATTCCAATTCAAAGCTGAAAGTTTTCATCTTCTAGCCATAACTCTTCCTGCTCAATGTAGGTTGCAAGCCATGCGGAGAAAATGGCAGAAACACTTGTTTTTCCTGCTCTTCCTAAGGAGAGAAAACAACGGAAATATGACCCAAGTTCCCAGACAGACGGAGATGCTGAAGCTGGGCCAAGAAAAAGAAAAAGAAAAGGCAAAAATGAAGCGGGTGCACCAGTATTTGATTTGCCCTCAGAAACTTACAATCCTGTAGAGGAAGATGACTATGATGAGCCTATGGAAGAAGAGGATAAACCAGAAAATGAAAGTGATGGTCTCGATGGTTTCTGGAATGAGTACTCACTGGCTCTGGAAAGCTCTAAGGTACAAATTGTATCACAGACATGATTTTTGTTGCTGTACCATTTTGCAATCTATCATATTGTAAATTAATAGTTCTGCTTATAAATGTATGCTTTGTCATTATTACCTGAAAATCGAGCTGCTTTGCACAAGGGTTAAATCCACATAGCCCCCCCAACACACAAACACACCACCACCCGTTCACCCAACAGGACTCATGTGGTGCTGTGTAAGAGAAATATGCATTACCTCATTTTTTAGTTAACTTGTCAATCTTCATTTGTGTTGTTTGCCATAATGATTTAGTTATATTTATTGGCCAGCTTGACACACCTGAAGAGGCAGACAGTGAGAAAGAAGTGGGTGAAAAGGAGGTGGACAATGGCTGCAGTCATGACATACGGATTCATGAAGACCTGGGCCATGTATGCCGCGTCTGTGGTATGATTGTGAGAAGGGCTGACATGATCTTTGATTATCAATGGAAAAAGGTATGTTATTTGTTTAAGATAAGTGATTCTTCTCTAACTCCGAGCTTGTTTAGCAATGTAAATCGTTCTCTACATGCATGTGGTTTAGATTTTTGGGAAGTTCTTACCAAGTATCCTTTTTAGCAACTAGCAAAGTGACCTGCGAGCACACACATGCATCATTTTTAGTGCGCTGAATCTGCTTTGAGATACATTTTTTATTTCATTTTACATTGTTTTGAACAAAGACGTTGTTTTGTAAAAGCCAACCACCTAAGCGGGCACAATATGCCAACCGTATCTGATTATCAGTCCATACCATCTTAACCGACAAAATGTACACATTTGATCATGCCACACAGCCAGATGATGCACCTCATGGGCTATTATTTTGATTATTCTTATATTTCCCCCATGAAGAAACTTTTTTAGTATAGCACATACAGTTGTTATTTTCTGATCTTCAGTATCAACTGCTCTGCATTATAATTTATAAATTTTCACAAATGTCATGAATGCTGCACGTATTGTCTTTGTTTGGCATTTCGTTTTTGCTGGAGAAGCCATGTCAGAACGAATTACAAAATCCAATGGATATAATAAGCTGATCTGTTTGACAAATGGTTTGATGTTTTGCATTTTTGTTTGAATTTCTAGTCTACATTTCTTATTTCTACCCTACCGTGCCTTCGGTATATACTAAATAGACGATTTAACTGTGGAACATTGCACAAGAGATGGATTTAGTAACAAACATGAAACTTAGATATCCATCATTATTTCTAATGTTTTACATGGCAATCGGAAATTCAAATGTATGATTGGAACAATCAATTGACATTATGTTTACCTCTTGTCAGCCATCAAGGTCAAGATCATATTTCAGTGAAACACGCTCAAAGGATTCTGATGACATTGTCATTGGTGATGTTAGAGTCACTGAAGAACTCATGGCTTTAGACGTTGCCATTCATCCAAGACATGCAAAGCAAATGAGAGCACATCAGTTGGCAGGTTTCCACTTTCTGGTGAAGAATCTAGTCTCTGACAAACCAGGAGGTTGCATTCTAGCTCATGCCCCTGGTTCGGGGAAAACATTTATGCTGATTAGTTTCATTCAGAGCTTCTTGGCAAAGTACCCCTCTTCAAGGCCCCTTGTTATACTTCCTAAAGGCATATTAGGTACGTGGAAGAGGGAGTTTCAACGGTGGCAAGTGGAGGATATACCACTGTATGACTTTTATTCTGTCAAGGCTGAGAAGAGAGCAGAGCAGTTGGAAATCCTCAAATCTTGGCAAGCCAAAATGAGCATCCTATTTCTTGGATACAAGCAGTTTTCTCAGATCGTGTGCAGTGATGGTGGTGGCAACGTCGCAGCTGCGTGCCGGGACATGTTGCTTAAGGTCCCTAGCCTACTGATAATGGATGAGGGCCATACACCTAGGAATAGGGAGACTGATGTGCTAGAATCATTGAGCAGAGTCCAAACTCCACGTAAGGTGGTCCTATCTGGTACACTTTTCCAGAATCATGTCAGTGAAGTGTTCAACATCTTGAACCTTGTACGCCCAAAGTTTCTCAAGTCGGACTCATCTCGTCCTATTGTTAAACGTATAATGAGTCAAGTAGCAATATCAGGTGGCAGAATTTCAAAAGGGGCTGCTGATAATGCATTCACTGAGTCAATAGAAGAGACCCTGCTGCATGATGATAACTTCACGAGAAAAGCACATGTCATTAGAAGTCTCAGAGAACTAACAAAAGATGTGCTTCATTACTACAAGGGTGACATCTTAGATGAACTACCTGGCCTAGTAGACTTCAGCGTCTTCTTGAAACTCAGTCCCAGGCAGAAAGAAATCGTTCATAAGTTGGAATCCTATGAGAAGTTCAAAAGAAGCGCAGTAGGAACTGCAGTGTACATGCATCCTTGTCTGTCAGGAATGTCAGAAGTTGACGCTGCAGATAGGGCTATCAACCTGACAGATGCAAGCATTGATAGTTTGGTTGAGTCTATCAACGTGACAGATGGTGTGAAGGCCAGGTTTTTCACTAACATCCTGGCGCTTGCGAATTCTGCAGGAGAGAAGGTGCTTGCTTTTGGTCAGTACATACTCCCCATGAAATTTTTGGAGAGGCTGTTGGTAAAGACAAGGGGCTGGAATGTAGGAAAGGAGATCTTTGTGATCAATGGCGATACTAGTCAAGAAGAGAGAGAACTGGCCACGGATCAGTTTAACAACTCTGCTGATGCAAAAGTTCTGTTTGGCTCTATCAGGGCGTGCGGGGAGGGCATCTCCCTCGTGGGTGCATCAAGAGTTGTCATCCTAGATGTTCACTTGAACCCCTCTGTTACTCGTCAAGCAATCGGGCGGGCTTTCAGGCCTGGGCAGCAGAAGAAAGTTTTTGTGTACAGGCTCGTGGCCGCCGACTCCCAAGAGGAAAGCTTCCATCAAACTGCATTCAAGAAAGAAGTCATACCGAAGCTGTGGTTTGAATGGAGTGAGCAGCACTGCACGTCGGACGACTTCCGGTTGAACAAAGTCGATATCGATGACTGTGAAGATGAGCTGCTGGACAACAAAGCGATGCGGCAGGATATCAAGGTCTTGTATAAAAGGTGAAAGCAGGTTGGCTGCTGTGCACCATGTACATATGCATTGTCGATCTTTCGAGGTCGGCATTGCTCTGAATGAAGTAAGCGTCCTCTAGAAATCATTTTCCGCATGATGATACCTGTTTCTCCTTGTTTCACGTGATTTTACAACCGTTTGTTTTCCTGCTGCAGGGTGTTACAGCTGCTTCGTTGTGGTGGAACGCCAAGCCAAGGGTTTGCTGCCAGCAAGGGTTTTCTGTTGCCAGTGCCATTGCCCCCACCTATGTGTATCCATCCGGTAACCTGTTTCGTAGTATGTGCCGACGACTTTGGACAGAAATTAGCTAGGGAACTGATCCTCGTCGCGTTTCTTTTCAAGACTTCCAGGACTAGCAGCTAGGTTTGCTTGTCTTTACCTTTTCGCGAAACAATAATATCCAAATAATATGTTACTGTACTTGTTGTCGCCCTTGGGCTGCACTCTGTTATCTAGGGTAAAAACTGATAAGTGTTTGCTGCAGACAGAAAACGCAGGTACTCTTTTTGCTTGCTTGGGTGCATGACTGAATGGTGGGGTATCAGGGGTGCCCCTCAGGGCCTCTCATGCTGTCCATTCCTGTTGTTTTGAGGGTATGGGTGGGTTTGCTGTGCGTTTGGTTACATTGTGCTTGTGCGTTGGTCTGGTTCGTGGCTGTGTTTACCCGCTCTTGTGAGCGGGCGCTGTGTCACTGATGTTTCTGAACCTGATGTTTATGCCATATATCTCTGATGGGATGGATGGCCAAGTGAATGCTATCATCATCACGATTCACCCCTATGAAACCAGAAGTTTATTTCCCTTTGATTTCATCGAAACTGATGCCTTGTGCTGGCCCAAGATGTTGTAATATTGTTATATGGCTGCCCATGATCTGGCTTTTTTTTTTTGCGGGTATGGCTTTTTTTTTTTGTACTCAAACACAAAAGCAATCTGTGTTAAGTAGACGGTGTTGTGTTCCTTCACCAAGCTATAATGGAATTACATGATTCACATGAGCATTTCTTTATCAGCATAGAGGCCGTCCCGTGTGGCCCTGGCTTTTTTTGTTGTTGCACAGATTAGGAAATTTATTGATGAGTTAACAGTGTTGCAATTCTGCAACCACAAGTCGGTTGAATGCTCCCTCCTCGAATCTATAGCTAAGAAATCTGCAACCTAATTTTTTAGTACGACTAATCTTTACCAGCTTCAGCTCTGTTCTTCCCTAATAAGCTCCTTCACATCTTCCATGATATATAGCTTTAGGCGCTACCAACATATTGCGTTGTTTGTCCCATGTGGCATTGGCCTTGTGCTGCGCTGATTCATGAGCAGCTCCTTGAGGGCCAAAGAAAATAAAAGGCATTGTCAATGTCGTATTGGGAATTTGCCTTTCTGAAAGCACGCACCATGCGGTCAAAATCACTGTTTTAATCCCTTCCTAGAAAAATTCAGATTGAAATGACCTCTATTGAAACTTCAACACAGTCTAACTCTAACCATTTTCAGGGCATCGGCAGTGTGTAGAGACATCATTGCCTCTAACATGGGTCCCCCACATCTGCCTTCAGCCATAGCTAAACTTCCCGTAGTGTATAGTACAACACTCAGCCTCTAAGGAGGCCCCCACAACAGAATTAAAATATAATTTCTTCACAACCGCTTCCAACTTTTCTCCACAACTACAGAGAGCTGCCACAAACAACGTACTATGACAAGGGGCCTCTTGGATTGTTTAATCAATGGAGGCTGCCTCTAACGTTAGAGGTGACTTGCATACTTTTGGCTAGAGACGATGGATACAATGTATAGAGGTTGCATCTTCGTGGAGAGACAGTGGATTTGACACGCCGTGGATGCTCTTAGCAACACCAACGAGTTAGCACGATCAAACCCCTTTTAACAACACTTGAGTTGGCATTGCCGTCGCAATACGTAACGCTATGGTTCGTGGCGTTCCTACCTTCTACCACACCACACCAACAAGTTGGCACTGCCATCGCAATACGTAACACCATGGGTTGTGGTGTTGCTACCTTGGACCACACCAACAACTAGTGCAATGCCAAGCAACGCCAGGGGCGTGGCGTTGCACATGGAAACAAGACCAAATACATTAGCATTGGGCAACGAAGCAGCAACACAATTAACTTTGGAGTTGTATAGAAGGGATTAGTTTTTGACATGGACCATTTTGACAATTAATTACCAAAAAAGGGTTTCCCCTTGCTTTATATTAAAGCAACTCCACCGATCATAACATAACTACTTGGACGAACAACACATCAAACCCAAAAGAGAAGGTAAAAAGAAATAAATGCCAACAACAGTAGCTCGACAAAGCATGGATGATGCATCATCGCTACGCCCTTCAGATTCATCCCACCACACTCCAAGGCTCCGAACTGCCGCGTACCAAGAAGCACCTCCAAGAAGAGATGCGATGTCGACGACGTCATTGCCCGAACATGTCCTAGGGTTTCCCCCAACACACAGAGGGGACTGAGGGATGAGTGACACCGACGCCCTTCAGGAAGGAATGACGGCACCCGCAGCCTACACCGCTTCAGAGTCGGATGAACCAACAGGGATTTCTCCCGCAACCCAAACACCACTACCCGCACGAACCGAAGCCAACTAGCTAGCTTGCCACCCGCCAACATATGCCACAATAGTTTTGAGATCATCCATGCCGCCTCACTGAGATCGCCAACACGAGGACATGAGGACAAAGAGAAGGAACGCCAGGAATCGGGACCTGCAGCACCGAAGCCGCGTGGGAGGGAACCACCTCCACCACCGTCCCGGTCGCCGTCCAGAGGCCCGTGCCTCCAGCACCGTCCCGGTCGCCGTCCAGACGCGGCAACAAGGGCATACCAAGCCATCCGAGCCCGCAAAGCCCCATCTGCCATGTTGCAACAAGCCGGCTCCAGCGCCGCCGCCACCCACCATCCCAACCTCGCTCCTCCGCCTCCCGAAAGCCAGGCCGACAACCCACCCAACTGCCGACCCGCCCAGATCCAGATGAGGTCCCAAGGTGATATTTTCACAAACTACACAGAAACCTATCAAACGGCTGCACCTTCAAGACAAAGGAGTACTTTAGTGAAAACCTATCCAAGTTAATCGCTTTTAACTAACTAGGGAATACATCAGACCGTTTATAACTTTTTTCCAAAAGAAAACACCCCAAACTTTGGGGTGTTTTAGTGTGCGCTCAATGGCGGAGACAGTGGGGACTGGCAGGAGCCATGGCTCCCCATGAATCCTATACCTGTGTATATACAACTTGCAAGTGTCAAAAAACATCTTATATTAAGTTACGGAGAGAGTATATGCTTGTTTAATGTTTCAATCTCTCAGATTTAAGGGGGGAAAGCATGTATTACTGTGATTTGGCCCCTGTTATCAAAAGTTTGAGTCATTTGGGCCCCTTCATCTATGATCCTGGCTCCGCCACTGCTGTGACTCAAAAGAAATTGGCAAGCCAAATCACATAGAGTACATCATAATGCTTTAGGTTTGTGCAATAGGTTGCATCACCAAAGACACCAAGTCCTGCCCCTGGATTCTGTTTGGAATCAGCATATCGCAGCACCCTGATTGCCGAGCAGTATATCGTTCCTTTTTCAGACATAACCTTCATTAAAAACAGCAAAATCACATCTCAGATCACTGTCTGCAAACATTAGCAGGATGAACGCCTAAAAAGGTGTTATAAAGGGGGTAAGAGGGATTTAAAGAACACATGCTGCCTCAAATGGATGTCAACATATATGGATGTGTAGATAACGGATGTCGATAAAAGTCAACCATTACAAGGAAATCACAATCTAGTATAGAGTAAGGCTATAGCCTATACGTGAGTGGACCATGCTAGTTAGTACTCCCTTCGTTCAAAAATATAAGATGTTTTGGATATTTCAATATGGACTACATACGGGCTGAAATGAGTGAACAAACACACTAAAACATGTCTATATACATGCGATTCAGAAAAAAGTTAGAACATCTTATATTTGTGAATGGAGGGAGTATAAGGAAGGGTATTGCAGCGACCAACAAATTGCATGTCGCCACCTTTTACCATTTGTTTCTTTTAGAAACTTTCAAAAAAAAAACCAGAAAAGCGGGACAGGCTCCTGCGGTAAATTTTCTTTTGAATTATGGGGAAAAAATTGCATAAGTATGTACAAGAACCTTTTAATATTTGATAATGGTGATGATATGACCATATGGTTCAAATAAAAAGCGCAAATCAAAAGGCAAATGAAACAACTTACCAGTTAGTCTAAAGTTGATCATAATACTGAATTAGACAACTGCCAAACAAATCATTGCTTAACAAACTAGCTTGCACATGTTTCTTCAGCAGTCACTGCGATCTCAAAGTTTGGCCACCAAATTATTTGCCTTCCTTTTGGCATATTCATGAATGACGGTAGCTGTGCTCTCTCGATGGCGCAGATAGAACTCTGCCAGCAATATTCTATTTTCTTCAGACGTGAGATCACCATTCTGACCCTGTAATTGAAACTGAGATAAGAAGCTGCAAGTTTACAAAGGGCTTACAAGCAGTTGTGTGGTCATCAATTCCCTTACTTGGAGGTAACTAAGCAGCATTGTCAGAGAAAATAAATGCGTGAAAGCACAAATGCAAGTTTCTATATTTTTCAACGCAGAAGATGGTCAGACAATCTTTTAAGTTTATTAATGAGCTGAAACTTAATGGTGCCAGTGACAATTCAAATCACTCTGATACACACCATCAATCATCTAGATTGAAAATGTTGCTACATGTTTGTAGGCGAGTTTGGAGTTTAGGTCAAACCATAAGTACAAACTGAATTTGGTGGTTATGCTTTGTGCTAATAAATTTAGTAGCAACACTTGAGACTTGCTATGTCTAGCTAGAGGTACGTGGCTTACTCACAAGCCTGCTAAGAAGCCAGCTTATCCAGTTTATAATCTATAAACCCATTAAGCTGGTATGCGAGATGAGATGCATAAACCATCAGGTGGATCTAATTAACTCTAGAGACTGCACTACGGCCTCTGCTACCTCCAATTATCTCAAATGAGTGAATCAAATTTAGGACTACAACTAAAAAATAACTAAAAAATAACTAACAGTAGAGGCCGTATCAAGTCTTATTTCAAGTTAAGAAGTCTTCACAATGGAAAAAAATGTACTTACAAGGCGGGAAACTCTATCATAAACAGCATGGTGCATAAGGATTCCAGCTGCAACAGATACATTAAAAGAATCCACCATGCCTTTCATTGGAACACTACAGTGCATGTCCGACAACTTCAGAGCGACGTCGCTAATACCCCTGTCACAGAATAATTACTTAATATCCACCCTTAACTGTAGAATG